ATCGAACACTCCAGAGTCTTATCAGACTGGGACATTTACTTTACATAATTTTATCAGAATCAATGTTAAAAACTGTTCCAAAGGAAAGAGATCTAATAAAATTAAAACTCACATATTAAAGTTGCACAGTTGAGTGCACACAGCTGAAACTGAAATAAATTTTCAATGGTTTTATTCAACATCATCATAAAATATCTGACTTCTAAGGCAGCTAAACACATACTTGCTTTATCATAGCAAATATTTGCTTTATCATCATAAACTGATCTAGGCAACATACATCACTACTTAGCCTGTGCATCTGTAGGTAGTCTTCATTTGAGCCATGTCTAGAATTATCAGCATGATGATTAGCTGAATTTCCAGATAATTGACTTGACACTTTATTTTCATGGAGATTCCTCATCCCAGTTGTGACAATGGGACAGGATACTGAAGCTGAAATACAGAAAAATATAAAGAACTATACTGATATAATTACACAGTTGTTAACTCTAAAAAATTTCACAGAAAACACTATAATATTAATGAGTTGGATGCAAGAGGTCTGGGATATGAACAAGAATCCCAACTTTGTTCATTGAATCCTTTTGCCACAAATACCTTGAATAAAATTAGGGATCTAAGATTTGAATTTTCAAGAGGCATTAAAACCTAAATTACATGTACGGATTAGCCAAGCTTCTCTCCACATCTATCCTAATTACAGTCAGTATAATACTCTTATAGGTTATAGAAAACTTTATTTTCCTCTACATAATATGTATTCACTACCTTTAGTAACTTCCAAGGTATTCACGGAGACACATAACATTATGTATGGAACACCTATATAAATTCTAAGCACATTGCTAAACTTTAAGTACAAATGTTTTAAAATAATCTAACAAGAATTCCACATAAAAAAAAAGGATAATGCCTAGATAATTAACAGTGTTCATGTTGTTCAAGATTGTTTTTTAAAAAGGGAAGAACAAAGAAATCCATTCATTCTGAAGATCATCTTTGCCAGTTACCGCATACCTGAATAAGCTGGCAGCAAAACTTACATTACACTGGCAAAGAATTAGGCTTTTGTCAATATAGATAAACAATTGCCATATGTAACAAATAAAAGTTTGGGGGTTTATTTCATTTTTCTATTGTCACATATACGTGACAACTATGCAAAATCGGTGTACATAGAGGATGAGCAGTGTAACATGAACATATGTTTGAGGATTTCTTCTTCCTTTGCGTTTTTGGGATTTTTGAAAAATAAAATAAATACTACCACTCTTTACAGTCAGGAAAGCAAAGCTTAAACATATCCAAAAAATTCCCTATCAACTCCAAGATCTGCATTAAGTATGTGATTCCTTCAAAGAAATTAGAGAACTATGAAACATGCACATGAAGGTAAAGCTGACATGAGATAGGAGAATAAAACAAATATCACAGACTTACCTTGCTGCATCTGAGGATGGGGTGTATAACTTGGAGGATGTGAATATGGCATGTATCCTGCAGGACTTTGAGGAGCATATGGACTAGGCACTGGACTGTTTTGTTGTGCCAAAAATCTGTTACCAGAGCTTGTTTGTGGTGGCACAAATCGACTAAAAAATAAAAAAGTTGGAAAAAGTTGGAAATGTATAAAAAAATTCTTATTTCTGTTGGAATATTATACTTTTGGAACATTATAACTTCTCTAAGAGACAAAATTTCAACATAATCAAGAAACTCCTTTAAAAGCAGTATTTTAAACGAGTGATACCTTACCAACTTTGATTATTACTTAAGAGCCACAGTTTAGGTACTGCAATAGTAAAAGTACAGAATAGAATAAAAAGCATTCATAAGACTTCCACCTAGGGAAAGGAAAGAACGACAGAATATTTATTAAAATAAGATCTGCAGATTTACTAAAACAAAATCATAGAATCATAGAATCAACCAGGTTGGAAAAGACCGCAAAGATCATCGAGACCAACCCTACCGTCGTTACTAGAACATGGCACTAAGTGCCACATCCAGTCTCATCTTGAAAACCTCCAGGGATGGTGAATCCACCATCGCCCCGGGCAGCCCATTCCAATGCCTGCTTACTCTCTCTGTAAAAAATCTCTTCCTAATATCCAACCTAAACCTCCCCTGGCAAAGCTTGAGTCTGTGCCCTCTTGTCCTACTGCTAGTTGCCTGCGAGAAGAGACCAATCCCAAATATGCAATTTCCAAAAATTAGTCCTAGAAGTTTAAATGAAAGTGACAGCTAAGGTTTAATTATCATATAATAACTATCTTGCAAGGATTAACAAGGAGCCATCTATTCTAAATATGATTTTTCTAGTAAGATTTCAAAGAACTTCATCTAACAGAACAATACTGCCAAGATATAGGAATGTGATTGGCAGGACCTGAACCAAAGTCTACTGAATATACCTTATTCTTTCACTGGCTTTATCTTAGACTCATCTTAAAGACAGAAAGTCATAAAAATAAAATAGGCTTATGACAATACATGTACATTATAGCCTACATTCTTCTATGAGCTTTTTCAAAACAAAAAAAATATATACTTCAGAAAGTACATGTTTTCACAACCCTCACTTCTTGATAGCAACTCTACAAAGGTAAGCTTCTATAGAGACAGTAAAGTACATAATACAAGGATTTTGCAAGGGTTTCAAGAAGAGTTAGCATATTTTAATATTCACAATTCAAAAAACTTTCTTCAATATCACTTTTAGATATAAATGTTAAAACATGTACTGTTTCTGTGTAGATACAGAGTATTTCATTTGCCAAAACAATTTCACTAAGTGAAACAAGCTTATTTTAATAACTGGAGATGAAATCTGCTAAAGCCCAATAACTAGGTTAAAACTACATGCAGAATTCTTTCCTTTAGTAGAGTACTTTATTATATTAACATGGGCCTGGATTATTTATTATATCACCAAAGACTGAGGGAGCTGGAATTGTTTAGCCTGGAGAAAAAGAGGCTCAGGGGACACTTTATTGCTGAAAAAAGGTTGTAGCAAGGTGGAGGCCAGTCTCTTCTCCCAGGTAACAAGCAACAGGATAAGAGAAAATGGCCTTGGGTTACTCCAGGGGAGGTTTAGATTAGATATCAGGAAAAGATTTCTTCACCAAAAGGATTTTCAAGCACTGGCACAGGCTGCCCAGGGTGGAGAAAAAGAGGCTCAGGGGACACTTTATTGCTGAAAAAAGGTTGTAGCAAGGTGGAGGCCAGTCTCTTCTCCCAGGTAACAAGCAACAGGATAAGAGAAAATGGCCTTGGGTTACTCCAGGGGAGGTTTAGATTAGATATCAGGAAAAGATTTCTTCACCAAAAGGATTTTCAAGCACTGGCACAGGCTGCCCAGGGAAGTGGTTTAAGTCACCAACCCAACCCGTATTTAAAATACCTGTAGATGTGTCACTTAGGGACACAGTTTAGTGGTGTGCTTGGACTTGATGATCTTAGAGGTCTTTTCCAACCTAAATGATTCTATAGATACATGCTACTTGCTGACACTCAAAGTTTGAAAAAGAACCAGATGTTGAGGAAGCTGCTGGAAGACTGGCCAAATTACTGGGCCTATCCTCCTCTAAGCAGCCTTTTGTATAACTGTTACAGCAGTATTCCATGGTTTTACAAGCCTTCTTTCCTACCCTTCTGTCACATTGGTACTGTTATACATGCCGGAACACACAGCCTCTTCTCTCCTATCCTCCTGCCACCAGTCTCAACCTCTGCTACAGGTAAAGAATAGCTGGAGGGATGTCAGGAGATAGGGGGATTACTTAAGCAGGAAATAAAGTTTGCCAAAATTATGGGAGGGATAGACAGCAGGGAATCTTGACTAGTCAGAATACAAAGATTAACTCATTAGCAAAAAAGATGTTTCTTTGCCAGCTGAAGAAACTCACCCTGCTATCAGACAAATGCAAAATTTGTCTTGACACTGATCACCTTCCACTCACATACTTGCAACAAGAATTGACTGTCATTGTAGGAAGAATTTGCAGTTTGCTGCCCATCCCACCCCATTTAGAAGAGCGTGTTACCTGGAAGGGCTATGTGAGATAGTGGTTTGTTGATAATTAGAAGATGCAGGACTACCTCTCATGGAATTCTGAGAGATATTAAACTGCGACATCATCATCCCTATTAAGAAGAAGATAAGAGCATTACTTTACATGCATTTCCTTTTTAATCAATAGTCGCTCATTTCAGAAATTATTATATACAAAGAAATTATAAACCTTACAAATATTAACATCTTCTACCTACAACTGTTAAAAAACTTTTCAAAAACAATCAATTTCATGTAAGATGCGCATTATACAGCATGACATAAAAAGAGTGTTCCCTAAAGCAGCATTAATTCAATTATAAATATCAATGGCAGTTCCTTCCTCTGTTCCTTAGCCAAAAACCTGCTAGTAAATAGAAACATTTTATAACAGGACATATACTCCACACTCCAGACTGGTGTGTGGAGTACTCATTGTGCCAATAAGATTTGGAAACTTCACAAGTCAGAAGAAGACAGAAAACTCAATTCCCATTATTACAATAACTACAACAATCAATCTCAGGCTAAGCGGTGCAAGATATTCTCCCTGCTCCCCTAATGCCTTAGTGGTTCCTTTCTATCCAGGGACAACAGCTTTCTATTCCACCTCCAGCATGCTTATAAGGAATGTTATCAAAGAAGGTGCTGAAATATTTTCAATTGCAAAGAACCACTGATATCCCATCTGTAGACTCCAACAGCCTGTAGATTCCCAGAGTCATGCTTTGGAAATTCAGGAGTTGAACTAGATGGCAAGTCACAGGTACCAATGAGCCTGAAAGTAACTTGCATCTTTATTACGGAGAATTTAAATTAATCTTTTTTGTTTCCTCTCTTCGATACAGATATAAAGAATTTCTAACCACCACATGACACTGGAAGTTGAAGTGGTACAGGTACACCAAAATTTATATGACTTTAAACCAGGTGATTTTAATGACAGAATTTAATATCTTGCAGCTAAAAGAGCATCAGAATTCACATACACACTGCAGCTTGGGAAGGCACAGCAAGTGATCCACAGCCATGGGTAAAAGCACATCAGTAATGCAAATATTTAAAGCAAAGGTTAGATAGAAGACTGACAGCAGTCTCTAATCCAAAGTGTTCGGGAGTCATAAATCTTTCGATTACTATTGCCGATTTCAATTCCTGCAATATTCACACAAGCAAAGCTAGTTTCAGAAATCCTCCCTGTCATCCTCTTTTCAATTCCACTCTCCACAACAAAGAAGTGATGGGATAATCCCCCAGGAATTGTTACTACCTCCCAGTAGATATGAAGTGCTGCATTCCAAGTATATTAGCACAGGCAAACTAGCCTAGAGCAAGAGTGAAATTCCCATATTGCACTGAAAAACAAATAAAACAATAAGAGACCTCCATAGTTCACTACAGAGGACATTTCATTGTCCCAAGTAACAGAAGGGGACTCCTCAACTTCTGCAAAATTTGATTAAATGGACACTGGTTGCCTTGCACAGAGGCAAGTGAGTAGTAAACTCCAGAGGTTTTGTGTTGGAGACAGCACGTGGCATGCCCATTGCCCACTCACCTCTCACAGCCACTCCCACTACAGCTAGATAGTAGTTAGTTTAACTACTAACCCTTAACATTCATGTACAGAAAGTTGACAGAATGTGCCCATATGAGTATGAACTATACAGAAGTTTCATTTTATGCTTAAAAACTGCACTTTTAAAATACTCTAAAAATCTGTTTTCTCCTCCCTAAATTTAAAATAAGTTTTGAAGCACAGATGCAGTAGTTCTTGGTTCAAAAGAATGACAGAAAAATATAGAAATTAATCCATTTGTAATGTCATTTAAAAAAACCTAAAACTTATTCTGTGATAGGCAGTTCTCACCTCTTTATCTCTGTTGGGGAAGACACACAACCCAATACATGGGGGACACAATCTAGAAAACTTTAAATACAATCAAAAAAAAAAAAAAAAACCACCCAAAATCCCCACAACCCATCTCCCTCCCCCTCCCCACTAAAAAAACTCCACAAACAACAACAAACACCAAAAAAAAAAAACCCTACCACAACAATGTCTCCAAAGTTTCCAGATAGATAAGTTGGTCTAGTAATGATGTAATGAATAAGGAGTAAAAATAAGTCCAAACATTTAGTCTAAAAGGGAGTTGAAATTAGTCTGTGGCCATTAACACTAAACTATCTTCTTGTACAATTTCTACATTGTTGTCATAGCAATAAGCAGCAGATTTATGGCTCCACTGTGCATTTCCACACCTTGAAATACTTAAGAATTGCTTTTAAATGCAACTTTAATTTTGATTGTTGGTAATGTTCTGCTGTAAGAAAACATCATCCTAGTAATCACATAGACAGAATGACAGAAGGGGTCAGGTTGGAAGGGACCACAGTGGGTCATCTGGTCCAACCTCCCTGCTCAAGCAGAGTCATCCTAGAGCACATGGCACAAGGTTGCATCCAGATGGTTCTTGAGTATCTCCAGCAAGGGAGAATCCACAACCTCTCTGGGCAATCTCTTACAGTGCTTGGTCACTGCACAGTAAAGTTCTTCCTCATGTTCAGGTAGAACTTCCTGTGCATCAGTTTCTGCCCCTTGCCTTTTGTCCTATTGCTTGGCACCACCAAGAAGAGCCTGGCTCCACCCTCTACACACCCTCCTTTCAGATACACTGATAAAGTTCCCTCTCAGTTGTCTCTTTTCAAGGCTGAACAGGCCCAACTCTCAGCCTTTCCTCATAAGAGAGATGCTCCAGTCCCCTAATCATCTTTGTCATCCTCCACTAGACCTGCTCCAGGAGCTCCCTGTCTCTCTGCTCATAACTCCAACCTGCTGAGGTCCTTCTGAAGGGCTGCACAGCACTAGGGGTATCGGCCAGCTTTGTTTCCTTAACGTATACTCACAGTCTTGACAATAATTTTTGCTCAGAAAAAAAGTGATACATATAAATCCATTTGAGCATTCCTACTAAATGCCAAAGAATGTAAAAACAAAGCTCAAGATCACAGAAAACCACAGAAAAAGTCTTGTATGATTAAATTGGAGTACATGCATGCTTAAGCTACGACTGCTCACAAATGGGTGATTTTTCAGTTAAATATACACTTATAGAAAGCATATGTCTACAAACTGTTTCCCTTTTACAGGCATAAGTGCACTTGAATTCTTGTATAAATGGAAACAAATATCAAAGTAATGGACACTTATGAAAAGATGAATAAGATTTTAATCCTCAAAAAATGCACAAGTTGTGTTAAATAGT